GTAGTTAAACACTTCCGTGATTTCATCAATGTAATATGATTTTATATGAAAAGAAAATATTTTTTGGGAAGACATATTCTAACTTCATAATGGAGGTATATCCGTTACAGTGTAAGTTTGATTTTTCCTTCGCGTCGCGTCAGTTCATATCGTACTTCTGTGCCAATGAATGAACCCTCTAGCACAGTTTTGAGAAATTGATTTTGGGGTTACTTTTTAAGCTGGAATTCCTTGACATGGGGGTTGTCAGTTAGTTGTCTCAGCCTTATCAATAACATAAAGTTGTCAATATAATCTCTCTATGGAATGTTAGGTGTAGTGGAATACTTGAAGTGAAGTTGACTTTTATTCTTGAACTGTTAGGGGCCACCGAGTTCATATAGTCTTGCGGCTTCATTGGCAACAAATAATGCAAATGACATAGCAATGGGACATTTCCAAAAAGCAAAAATACCGTAGATTGGCAGTTACGTATATATTGACGTTTACATATTGTTAATCAACGTATCTTATAAAGGATTTTGTAATCTAGTTTAAAAGGAATATGACCTTTCTGTCATGACAGTAGCTGCTTTAATAGTATTTCCTTTTGTACCATATTTTACAGCCAAAATGTCGTGTTATTTTTCAATGATGTTACCTACTCAGTGCGCCAAAGTCCGTAATATAGGCAGGCGCAAATAATTTGTCAAGATGGGTACAATTTTAGGCAAGGTTTCTATGTTTGGATATTATTAGACACGATAAGAGCAGATATTTCTACATAAATATTTGATATGTGTAGAATAATATGATCAAATGTAGGCAAACGTGGACTATTCATACAACAACTTCTGTATCCAATAGTCAATGGTAGAATTCAGTAACTCCCAATAAATGTGTGTTGTTTGAAATACAATTTAAAAATGAACAGCTGTTTCGTTAAAAAGTATTATTCACATGGCCAAAGTGTAAACAACTCTGTGGAGGGATCTTTAAAGGCTTCTGGGGCAGAGTCCTAAGGGATTTTGCTTAGTTTTTCTTTTAATAACTCATCTACAGACCAAGACACCCCTACCAAGTTTCTTCGCCGAGCCGTTCTCTCAAATTTAGTGGGGGCAAAGTTTCCAATTAAATATTTAGATTCTCCCATGTTAATCTTATGGGAGAAACTCTAACTTTGATAGCCTGTGGGGCAAAGCCCGAGGATTTTCATTACAGAAATTAGTGAAAGGGGGCGTCTACACAAAAAATTCTTTATTTTGACACGTCGTTTGTAAAAATCCGTCCATTATTAACGGAGGAGTAGTGTTTCGTAGAAATTGCCTTCACGTATTATACGTATATAAGGATGTTTGAACCAGCTGTGTGGAATTGTGAAATCAAAATTCATTTGACAGTTTACATTTTTAAATTATGTAGGTTTGCTCTTGTTACCATGGATACCATGGATTATGTAAAATACCATGAATTGTATTCTTTAGTTGGGAAATAAACATCATTTCATTTCATTTTTTTTTTTCATTTCACCATCAATCATTATTTTAAAATCTCTTACCTCAAATTTTTGAAAGCCCACGGGACAGAGCCCTAGGACAATAACGAAGAGGGAATAGTTGTATAATATGTATCCTCGGAGCTGTAGCTTCACTTGCGTGCAATTTGAGCCCAGTCGGTTCAGTACTTTTTGAGATTCTCTCATACAAACACACAGACACACACACACAAACACACACACACCACCTCTTCTTTATAATAGTATAGATAGATAGATAGATTACTATTATAGTATTATATATTTTCTGTGCTATGGCTAAAATACGTTTTTGAGCGAAGCGAGCGGAGCGAGCGTAGCTCACTTTCCCTCACTTTGTAACTTCTTTGTAAGAGCATCAGAATGTAATGGCTTGACCAATTGATATGAAATTTGGCCAACAGCTAAAGAATACTGAGCACAATGTTTTGGTAAAAAATATTTGCAAATTTCCTTCTGGATTTTATTTTACAGGTCACGCAATTTCGCTTGTTATTTTAATGTAAGTTGAAAGAAAAATTATATTGGGTTTATGACATATGGGTTTATCTTGTTTTATTTAAATAAGATAAACATATTATGTTAATTGTTTGTAACTGTTTTGTTTACATTTCAATGTTTACTTTCATCCTAGGTTAAAGTTAGTTTATCAATGGAAGTAACAGTTTTGCTATATTTGTTTTGAGCATGGCTCAAAGACCACGTCGTAATATTAGTCCAGTAAATAGAGGTATGTTAACTTACAAACGGTCCGGTAAGTCTAAATTTGTTATATGTTGTCTAGGATGGTAAGTAGTTGTTTAAGGCTGCGCTCTACCCCGTCTGGCGCGCGCAAATGTAAGGGTATTAGTTCTTCCTGTTTGTAGCCCCAATTGTGAACCGATTTAAAAGATCTTGGTGTCATATTTTTCGTTAAATGTTATTGTAGGTATCCCGTTTTTTAAAATTTTGATAATTTAAAAAATGTTGGGCTCACGGGTTGGTGAAAAATGTAAACAGATATTTAAAAACGGATTTCGGCATTGAAATCAGCGTGAAAATCTGGTTTATAATGATGGGTCACAACGTTATCATTGCATTTGATTTTCTTTATTTATATCTAATATGGCGGATTCAAGATGGCGGCCAAAAATGAGTTCCCTATGTAAATAAAGTACTAACCACCCAATAAACTTCGGTGGTCGTCCCAAGTCAATATCTCACAAAATTTTGAATAAAATATTCATGTGGTATATTTTTTTCAAATTTGTCCAATGTTGAGAAAAGCCGCCATTTTTATCGTGATTTTAGGAGAATTTCTGTAGACCGATTTTTGGCAACTTTTAGTACGTCACTCTGCAGACCCATCACTACAAAATAAAACCATAAAACGTTTTCTTCCAATTTTTTTACGTTCCCTGTGTCAGTTTTTTTAGTTTGCTTGGACTAATAGAGATTTGTCAAAATAACAAAGAAATTGACGTTTTATTGTACAAAAATTTAAATATTTTCGTATCCATAAGTCTTAGAACCAAATTGTTATACTTATTTTATAGGAAATCCAATTGTCTACAACATTGTCATTACATATATTTCGCTAAAACGAACCAAAACGGAGATATAGGCGAAAATCTCTAGAAAGTACAGATTTTATCGATTTTTCAATATGGCGGCGGGCGCGGAGGGTGGAGAATTGTGCATTTTTCATTTTAAACAACTGCTTACCATCCTAGACAACATATAAAAAAATTAGACTTACAGGACCGTTTGTAAGTTAACCCCCCTATTTTTGTCTCTAACCAGATTGATAGGCAGTTAGCTAATCAATTCCAACATGAATTAGATGCACAAAAATGTTACACTTGCACTTACTGTCATCGCCAACAACTAACAGCTTCAAACCAATCACCGATTTGTTCGCGTTGTCGTTCAAATGCAACTAAATTCACGGCGTTAAATAATATGGATGAGTCAAGTGTCCCGAACGAATTAACTGACCTGACGATTGTAGAACAAATGTTGATTGCACGAGTACATCCTGCTACGCCCATTTACAAAGTACAAGCAAATAGTCAGGATGGCCAGTTTCACTAAAAAGGTACAGTATGAACTATCAGATAAATTTGTCATTCTTTAGAACTTAAATAATATCGGGCAAACAGTGAATCTGTTGAATGGGAACATATTGTAGGTTGTTAGCTGCTTTAGCCATTGACAATCTTTAAATAATGCTTCGCTCATTTATGCGTCTAAAGTGTAACGGCAGACCACCCTATTTATTACTGCATCAGTTGGAGACACTCTCTGAATATCTGCTTCAACCATTTGTTGTCAAACATTGTTCTCGTAAAATAGTGAAATTATTTTTCGTATGCACTAATAGAGCAAGGTTTGTACTAAAAGAAAACCTTCTTTTAGTTTAAAAAATACATGTTTCACAGGAAACATTTTTAACCATTGTAGTAACACCATTATAGCTTAAAAAGTTGATAAGTGATAGTTTACATAATATTTAGCACATTTGACGGATAAACATTTTTTGAATTCGTCATATTATAAGTGTATGAAAATTCATATATCTGTGTATCAATATCTACTTATCTCATTTCTGTTCAATGGAAGTTATACAATTTCAATGATACCGGTACTTAAATGGGAAGTCTTACAGCTGTTATAAAACTGTGCATACATTTTATCTTACGAGTAAATTTGCTACCAAGTGATATAGTATGACAATTCTATTCTACTGCAGTACTTAGAATTCTACCACTACTCACATTAAACCTACCATATTTACTTTTGGGCTAGTGATTAATTTATTGTATTAATCATACAATATAGTGAATAGTGTAGTCATTTATTTATTTCGTTTCTATGACATAGCTCTATTTTGTAGAAATCAATTATGCAATCATAACAACAGAAATACTGCATCACTACATTTTACGGTGACATAGTATTTATTTTACATATAAAAATTTAAGCTAATACAATAATTAGTTCAATTAGAATCATTGAATATTGAATAATTTAAACATTAATCGAAGACGAAGCGGTTGACAACTTTCAAACAGTTGACTAGGCCTAGTTGCCTTCAATAATTGCAATACGAACTGTATGCACTGAGGTCGGCAAACAGTGTTCACAGTGTGCAGGGACTTTGGACGTCGTGGCACTTGGACGTCGTGCAACAGTCAAATATTGATTGGACGTCGTGGCACTTGGACGTCGTGCAACTGGCAGAGGCTTTGGACGTGGTGCAAATGATACTTCTTTACAATCCTACAGTGCGCTGTTTCACGACGTCCAAGTGCCACGACGTCCAAAGCTTGTAGAAAGACTATATTTTTGGCAGTTACTGTACTTTTGGACGTCGTGGCACTTGGACGTCGTGCAACAACTCAAAAATGATGTTTTGGACGTCGTGGCACTGGAAAAATATTATTGGACGTCGTGGCACTTGGACGTCGTGCAACACTCCCAACTCAAATTTTTTTACGTTGGCAAGTTGAGGTCTTCTTTTATAGAATTAGTTACTTATGCTTTTGGCGTATCTGAAAATGGAGTTTGATCATAAGGTCATAAAAAATAAAAATAGCACTGCTATTTTCCCCTAGGAATACCTAGGAATGGATGAAAATAGGGAAAATCTTCAGATAATAGATTTATGATAAATCAATCTCAACGGTAGAACCTCGATTAACTGTCAACCTTTAATCAATACTCTCTGTTATCTGTCACTCCGCTACAGTACATAATTACTTTTAAATGCGATTTTATTCCACTGTACGAACATTAAACAAGCACAACATACAAAATAACAGTTCTTTATTACTACTGTATACAAGTAATTTAAATCTATTAATGTATTATTCACTTGTACATGTATCAAAACTCAAAACCTTTTAAATCAACTTACGTTCAGGTTTATAACAGGATTTCTGTTATCTGTCTACTTGCTTATTCGTCACGCTCCCGGTCCCGAGGGTCAATAGAGGTTCTACTGTATATTGATTTCTCTTTAATCTAACTCTGAAGAAGGCAAAAGGACAAAATATCTGTGTTACATCGTGTGACCTTTTTGTGTACAGATTAACTCTCATTTAAAAATCTTCAATCAGCCATGCCACTTTCCCTTAAAATCTTACTTTTACTTTTGTCACACGCCTGATTCCATTAACACAATTTAAAAAACCAGAATAATATAGTACACTCTTGGGCAAAAACACACAAACATCACTTTTCCAACCTGTTCTGGCTAGTTCGAGTGTTGAACACGCGTCCAGGGAACACCCTGAGGACAATGGTGGAGGTGTGCTAATGTCACCGAGCCGGGTATATGACAAACAACGACAACTGAAACAGGCTCAACAGACAGCCTACGATGTTGGGGTACTGAAAATGACACAACACGGTTAATCTTTGGAAGATTTTAACTATAAACACTTGGCTTGAGAATATTTGCTCTATTGTTAGACTCGTTTGCTTACCTTGAACTTTTCTTTAACTTAATAATTTAAAACTCTCTCTATGCATAGTAAAATGGAGAAATCCTCTAAAAATTAATTAATGAAGGATAACCAAAAGTCAAGGCGATGGAACAAATGTAACAATAACAATAGAATAATGGTTTCAGTTGGATAAACTACATTAAGACAATTTTAAATTTATTTTAGGAATCACAAGCATCAGTAAACCTTTGTGCTTTAAAATTTGATATACGTAAACCTACAAAATTTCATAATTTTCTGTATAAAAGATTAGGTTTGTATTGACATTCCAATGTTTAAATTAAATTGATTCAAAATTCAAAACAATTTTGAATTTGTATCGCACGTTTAATACCTAAATTGTTTCAACAATAACCAAAACCAATATCAATTAAGACATTTTATATTACTGTATCATAAAAATCTTTTTGATATTTATATTGTAGAAAATTGATAAATCTAGCTTTAAATAGTTTCAGACCCGATAACTATTGCAATAACTATAACGATTGAATTGTATAACTATTGCAATTGGAACTAGCAAGTCTAACAGTAGTCATTTATGTAGGCTAATTCATTTATTAACAAGAGGATTAAGAGGAATATTATTGCAAAGATTGAAATGTATAATTTATGTAATAACATACCAATTTATTGCCACACAACGGCAAATGGTAAATATTAATCTCCGTTGTCTCTTTAAATAAACGTGTGAGGACACATTTTTACAAATAAATTCTTGATCAGCATAGTACTGGTACCTGTTATTAAATTTACGGAGATTAAATAAAAATACGTCTAATAACACTTCAAACCTATATTATTTACGCCTATGCTGTTAACTTACAAGACATGGTAGTGGTGATCGATTGTGATTAAACACTCCAATCATCATGAGACCCGTTAGGCGAATGAATGTCATGACATTTTTAGTTACTTTGCTTACATTTTTTTCAGTGATCCGAGAAAAATAATGGTAGGTTAAATAAAACTTATAAATTACCTGGATGATCGGATTTTCCAATATAATGCCATACAGGAACCATTGAAAAGAAACGAGGAAAGTCATCAAGATCATTGGGAATGGTAAACTCTCAGCGCTTTTAACCCTCAGTACATATGCCTGGTAACAGAAAAATGTCATTAGTCCTTCAGCATAATCAGTAGGCTTAAGTAGTCAGATGAATCCAGGCCTACGCCCTTCCTTATGCTCCTTTCACACTATTAGGTTTTCTAGGTCGAGTTTACTGACTGTATGGCGAGCCTGGGACGGTGGAGTCGTCCTGTGGTCCAGCTACTAGGAGGTCACGAATTGTGGATATTTATAGGCATGCACTGTAGATGCGATAGGCCTACTCCCTTGTGTGGATTAACGTCTGCACTAATACTAATAAGTACTACGAGTTCCGCAGTGCTATCCTGATAATTAGACCAATTCGTTAATTACAAGGCAAAAATGTGGTTCGGATTCCACTATAAACTGTAGGTCCCTTAGTTGCCATTGGCTGTATGGGCTATTAATTTACATCTGTGTCTAAGGAACATGTTTGCCTTAGTCACTAACAAGACTACAAGATCGCGCCACTCATCCTACACTTATCTCATCTCCATTCATATTCATACCTGGTTTAAAATACCTCCATTAGTATGGTCGCCATTCCATAAGAAAGTATAAGGCCGGGCGCACACCAGATGCGGCACGGCACGTCATTTTGCCTTAAGGTGACTTATGCGACTAGGTTTCTATTATTTCAAATGGGGGTGCCACACACATCAATGGGAACGGCAAGGCAAGGCAAAACAGCGCCGCACGGCGCTTTGTACTGCCTTTTCAATTTTCGTCTTTCAGGCAAAAGGCTTGAGGCAAAACAATGTGCGCATGTGTGAGGATCGACACCACGTTCAGCGTAGTGACAGCCCCTGTCAAAATCAGTGTGCACTTCCAACGATTAGTAATTTTGAAATTTTTCCGGATCTGCTCTTAGTTCTGCAATGAATGGTTTCATCCTTTTTTGGTTTATGGGATGCACCCACGATTCTCTGTTAGGGAAATCATCCATTACACTCATTAGGTACCATATAGCAGCTATGGCAGCAGCCTCTTCTTCGCTTTCTGCATCCATTCTCACAAAATGTGTAGTACAAAGTGTCACAAAAAACCTCACAACACACAGTATCTCACTTTACTGAAACCATGGGATCGACCATGTGGGTGCTCAAGTTGCCGTGCCGTATGCATCTCAAATTCCATCGGGCACGGCAAGGCGAAGCAAAGACGTCTCACCTCGCCTTGCCGTGCCGTGCTGTATCAGGTGTGCAGCCGGCCTTAAAGTAAAGCCGTTTAGGCCAGTGGCGTAAATAACACCCCCGCAACAAGGGGAAGGAGCACCGAGGGCTAGGGGGTACTAAGGTCTGATTGTCACCGCTCACTGCAATCGCAGAAAAAAGATTACTTTGTTTTTGTGACCGTGGGAGACCAAGATGATGTACAAGACCGAAGAAGATGTTCATGATTTTGCAGCAATCAGGGGAAAGAATTACAATGTTTCCGTTACTGCCAGTGACGAAGATGATATCTTTAAGACCGCCGATGATGTAAAAGTTCATGCCGCGATCATGAAACTTGATGATGATTTATCCATGACTAAGGGAGGCGCGATCAACAGGTCTGCGAGATTTTTTTGGATTTGGCTGTGATCACGGCTTTTGTGGGGATAAACAAATAAAACATAAATGGTAAAGTTTTGATGGGGGGAGGTGCACCATACACTTGTACTGCGAAGGGGGGGGGGGGTGCTGCTCAATGTACTTACGCCACTGATCTAGCCTGAAGCAATGTGTAAAATGTAATAAATTATAGGAAGGGGGTAAAGGGTAAAAAGTTACCATGGCTACAGGGTTTTTGACGTAGTAAAGGGAACAAAGAACGATCAGATTTCAAAACCCAAATCAAAACTACAAATTGTTGGTTATTACATTCTCATACCAGATTCGTGAGTGGAGCGCTGAAGAACATTATGGTGGTGCTGCACGCTACCAGACCTAGATGTGTCCTGGCCACAGTTATATCTGACACCCAGTAGGCATAGAGCCTCACCGACACCATTACCATCAGCACTGCCATCACCTGCTTGACAACTGCATTCTGAAACATACAAGAATGACAACTGTTGTTCATCTATAATGTGTAACATATTTACTGTAGTTTACAACTCTTAGACGGCAACATATTGTGTAAAACTTGTGGTGTGTTGCTAGCCTGGTGGTTAGTGTATGAGAGTGTTTGTGTGAATAGGAAATCCTATCATGACCAAACAATGAGTTTCTTTTTCTTTCACAAATTGGCACTGGAAAAAAAAACCAATGTAAGCATTTGAAGGTAACAAATTACAAATTTTAACCGAGGTTCTGAAACAAAATTTCTTAAATCGATACCGTTGGAATTGTGTGACAGCTTTGTCACAGGTTTGGGTACAGTGGAACCTTTCATATCTGGCCACCATGGGACCGAGCCTTGGCCAGATAACAATTTAGGTGCAAACCAGCCAATTAAAAAAACCATATAGTTTATCCCTAATAAACTGTAATCGATCAATTCAGTCAAAAGTAGTGTTTAAGTCTGGTTTTTTATTATAAAAATATAAATGTTAGTAAAATCATAGACAAATAGAATAAAAATAGACTGTCAAAGGAAGGTTCCTCGATGTGCCGCTAGAGCGTGCTCGGTGTTTGATTCACTGCCTAGGGGGCGCTGAGATACGATTGTGACCGCTCACTGCAATCGCGGAAAAAAGATAACTTTTTAAACTTTACTTAAAAACTGCTCTTCGCATATGCAACTAGCAGATGCTGTGGTGGTGTGCGCCGTAACTACATGGCACTCCTAGCGGTGGACGCTAGAACATATGCTCACCGCAGCACTACTGTCTATATTTAATTTTTTTCTCTATGGTAAAATCAATGAGCATTTTTTATCCATAGAAAAAATTGGGTTTTGACTAAATATAACAATTAGCCCATTGTACTGTACAGATAGGCTGTGAGAGCATTCAAGTCGCAAGGACTAGTGCTTGCAACTAAACTACGCATTTGTGAGCTGTACGAAATACCTCTCAGTACTGACTACTGAGAAAGGCCGGATAAACTGTGGACCGGTAAAAGCAAGGGCAGATATGAGGGATTCCACTGTAATGAGGTTTACGGCTTAAAAGCTACACAGAAAGTAATTTTAATATTTCTACACTACATTTAATAAACTTGTGTAACGCTCAGTTAACCAAGAGTACTGGTCCCATCGTTGAAGTTAACAGTAAGCTCAGGTTCAAGTTGTCATTAAAAATAGGCGTTAAAAATTATACTTGCTAAAATTCATACTAACCTTACGCAAAGTGTAGGTGTAGAAAATAAATATGTAGCACATAAATAGTATCGTTCCAACACTGTTGACTAGGACAATACTGGAGTCATCAATCAACAGTCCGTAACTTAACCAGAGGCCACACCTAGGCAAAACAATTACAATTGTAAAAGATATGGTATTAGATTAGTTACATAGGACTATAATTGTAATATTCAGTATTTATTTGAATATTAAGGTTGCATTATGATGGCATTGATGTTTGGGTAGGGAAGTCTACCAATGGTCAAAGATAATACACAAACATGCTATATTTTTGTACCCACATTATTCATTATATAAAAAGTGAAAAAGTGTTTTATTTTTACCCTATCAATTATTGTTTTTTTTTTTTTTTACTTTCTCCCCCTATACCATAGTATATGGAGAAAGTATAGTTTTCGTCAAAATTTTCGAGTTTGAGTTTTGAGTGGATATATTCGTTTTGGGTCCCCCTGGACCCAAAAATGTGGTTTTCAAAGTGATGTCTGCGTGTGTATGTCTGGATGTGTACAGAGCTAGGGACTACACCTGTGGTCCGATTTCGATGAAATTTGGTATGTAGGTTCTAATCCATGGTATCTCCAGGCGTTTTTCCATTTTTTTGAAATTTTTATTTTTAATGGGGATTTTCCTATAAAAACCCATAAAAAACTGGAAAAATAAAAAAAAATCTCAAAAATGGCCCGAACAATTTTGATAAAAATTTAGTATGTTGTAGCCCTTTAAATTCTGAACAAAATTGTACAAATCCCATTTCTGTAAAAATTACGGTTCAAGTAAATTATGTTATTTTCCCATAAAAACCCCATAAAATAACAAAAATAGGATTATAAAAAAAAAACCGGTTTTGATTTAACATTGTATGTTATGGTCCTTACCATTTTGATAGTTTTTTTCATTTTTTATAAATTTTGATTTTTAATGGGGATTTTCCCATAAAACCTCATAAAATAACGGAAAGTCGGATTTTCCCAAAAATGACCTGAACGATTTTGATAAAAATTTTGTATGTTATAGTCCTTTAAATTCTGAACAAAATTGTACAAATCCCATTTCCGTATATTTACTCTCACCGTTTAACATGATAAAGGTTGTTGACAAACTTATGGGAGAAAGTATGTGTCAGAATGCTGATACCGTTTATTTTTAGATGAAATCAAAAACATTATATATATTGTGAAGTTTTAAAAAAATCTTGCTTTTGGATAGACTAAATTTTTTAAATAAAAAAAAAAATTAAAATGTTTTGACTTTTGACGATTGTCATGAACTTTGTACATAGTTTTAACGACAATTTTCAGTTTTCGTTATTAACTTCCCACCTAAAAAAAACTTAAATTTTCAAAAAAAAATTTTTTTTAACGTTTTTAAAAAACCTTTGAAATCTTTTGTGAAAAATAAAATGTACGTACGACAAAAATCCGGCGACAAATTGCAGACAAGATACATCACTAGTTGTTCCTTTCTGGACGAACTTATTGCACACCAACCTGAAAAAATCAATGCAATATTACTGTACTAATTTCTTATGATATAACATCTTGAGAGTATTAATTGCAAAACAATGAGACTTCTAAGTACACTTCAGTTAACTGGCAGTTTAAAAAATCACTTAAAACAATGATCATAAAAAAACACCGCGCAACGCGCAACAGATTTATCCACTGGTTGTTACAAAAAGTAATAGGTAACAAAATTTAGTACACACAATTACTTCTTGGTCACATTTACAAGATCATGATAAGCAGTCTGCGATTTTTTAAGGGTTGGCATAAGTGATGGCTGATACCAATACCATTTTTTAAATAGTTTTACAATATTTTCTGAATGGATTAGTTATACTACTTCTTTTAAAATATCCTTCCATTCTTTACTACTATTTCTTTATGTCCTCCCATATAGTATTTTTAAAGTAATGTGTTTTTCAATTAAAGAAAAAGTTAATGCAGCAATCATCAGTTAATGAATCATGCATCTGACATAAAAATATAGGTATGGTTTTAAGGAAAAGCAGCAAAGATAGTTCAACAAGATAAGGCCTGCCATACACGTTCCGTCCCGGCCTCAAGGCCTGGCCGAAGAAGAACTGCACAGTTTGGCCGGAGTCGTGACCTCCCCACACACGCTCAGTCCGGAACTGCACAGTTTGGAGTTTTTCAACTCTTTTCTAAAACGCACTTCTTAAATTATTTATTTTTTTAACCACAGTGTCCTTTGTGGCTTTTGGGTCTGCCTTCTTCACAAAATCCAATAATTGTTGATAGGCTGCTTCCCTCATTTCCCTGTTATGGTACTCTTTACTTTTAATTTTCTAGATGCATTCGTGACCTCGGTATTTCTCAATGAATTCCAGTGTGAAGAGGTAGACATGATTAATGTGGAGTACTAACGAAATCACTACACAACACTACAGCGCCAAAATCCAAAAACTATACCAACAAAACAACAAACAACACAGCTCCGATTATGCTTTCACCAGTAGTTGACTCACAATTTAGAAAGGATGCGAATGCGATAATGCTTAAAATTTATAGGGGGAGGGGGAAGCAGCACTGTCTTGGACTGCGGGATTTGCCATACACGTTCAAATCGGCCTCAAGGCCGGGCCTGGCCGGATGTAACGATCTGCCTGAAGGAATCGACATACACGTTCAGTTTTTCCTTCAGTCCAGGACTGTACAGTCCGGGACTGAAGGAAAACCGGAACGTGTATGGTAGGCCTTAGGTACCTAAGATATGAGGGCTCAGGTTCTTCATCTGTACACAAAAAGGTGTACACAAAAAAGGGATGTAACACAGATATTTTGTCCTTTGCCTTCTTCAGAGTTAGATTACAGAGAAATCAATATAGTAGAACCTCTATTGACCCTCGGGACCGGGAGTGTGACGGATAAGCTAATAGATAGATAACAGAAATCCTGTTATAAACCTATACAGTAAGATGAGATGACTCAATAGGTTTTGGAAGAAATTAGTCCCTGTACAAGTGAATAATACATATTTATATTTAAATTTCTTGTATACAAGAGTAATACTGTAATTTCGTATGTTGTAATTGTTTAATGTTTGTTCAGTGGAATAAAATCACATAAAAAAAAAACTACTTGCTCGATTGTTGTAATAGCGGTAATTTTCAGGTTGCGCGATCTTCGCAGACGTGTTGGGTATCGGTATCGGAATAGATTTTTGACCAGCGATTCTCAATACCGATTTCCAGGTATGGGTGGTACAGTATCAAGAATCGACACATCACAAGCTAGCATTATAACTTACGCGCCAGATAAGAACTGTAGAATTGTGCTGATTGAAGCAGTAGTTGCAATCATTTCTTTATGATCAGATAACTGGAACCCTTGGCTCAAGTTTCCTGGACCAGGACCTGACAAGGAAGAAAATTAGTTAGCCTAGTTACTTACATCGATACATTATAAGTAGCATTGACTGTTAGACTTTATTTTTTTTTTTAAGTTAAATGAACCACTATGATTGTCATCCTGACAAACCGATATGAGATTAGAGTCACTATTACTAGTTAACAATAAGTTGTCCTTTCAGTCCTAGGTTTGATTAAGAGTTAGTGTATAGCCTACAACAGAAATCGTTTACTGATTACATCACACTATGTCACATCCTCTCTTCAATAATATCTTACCTAAATTATGTCAAAGAAACAGGTGGAGTAATAAGTTAGTTCAATAATTGTTTAGCACTCGAATTGTTACCAGTTTGTTGTTGCCAATCGGAAAAACAGGCTTTTAAGCCAGGTTAACACGATACCAATTGGTGAGACTGTTGTCTTCGCCAATTGTCATCACATGATTGTTGATGGCTACCGCTAGTTGTCCTCCTTGTTGTCCTCAGTCTATCCCCGGAGACCACTGAATTTTAGCACGATTGTGAGGGTATTTGGTAAGGCAGTTGGCATGAAGAGTTTACACGAAGCTAATAATTACATGCCAGTCAGTTGTCTTCTGACGATTGTCTCGCCTAATGACATCGTGTAGACCCGGCTTTTGCAAAGCATTTTAAAACAGTTAATTGTTTGTAAGAAGACCCAGATCGATTTGCCTAAAACTTTTTTCAAATTGAGGTAAATTTTATATCGTACATTATTATGTGATCATGGTAGTAGGTATGTGGACCTGAGAGCGAGGAACGGAGGTTTCCGGTCTGAAATGTGATCATGGTATGTTAAGATTAATAAAATGGTGTGTTACCTAAACTTTGTGTTTGATTTATACCAGACTGCAACAAAATACTTCCTCCAAGGCATAAAAATAAAACCCTTTGTTATATAACCGGTGAAATAGTTTTTAAAGACTAGTGAGAACATCTAATTGAATTAATTAATTACATTGAAATTGAAGAGTATAAAATTTATACTCTTTTAATTTAATTTAAAATAGTAACAAATTTCAAGTATTTGGGAGTCATCCTCACCAGCGATAATGATGAAGAGCTAGAAATACAAAATAGATTAAACCTAGCACAAAAAAGTTTTTCGGCCTGTCACAAGTTACTAACTTCAAAAATAATATCCCACACCACCAAACTCAGGATTTATAAGACAATCATCAGACCAGTTCTCCTGTATGGTTCAGAAAATTGTATCTTAAGCAAGAAATCAGAAAGGAAAGCTATTGTATTTGAGAACAAGAAGATTTTGAGGAAAGTGTACGGACCGATTTTTGAGGATGGACAATGGAGATCGAGACATAATTGGGAACTTAGAGAATTATTTAAGGATCCGGATATTGTCGCTGAGGTACGGAGCAGAAGACTGAGATGGGCAGGGCATAATCTAAGAAAAGATGACAACTCCCTATCAAAGAACATCTTGAGGAATAACCCAGAAGGTAGAAGACCCCTTGGAAGACCGAAACTTAGATGGTTCGACCAAGTGGAGAAAGACCTGAGGAAGCTAGGGAGAAGGAAGGAAGATGCAAGAAGCAGAGACCTATGGAGGCAGTGTGTTGGGGAGGCCAAGTACCATCTAGGGTACCAGTGGCCACAGCAGTAAGTAAGTAAGTGAGAACATCTAAATAAATATGAGGCCTACCAAATATTTTTGTAATTTTTACCACTAAAACTGACCTGCATCAGGGATATCAATGAAGTCCAGAGACATGCTTGAAACTCGGGTATATCAGCACAATACTTTTATATCAGCACAAGGAATCATCACCAAACTGAAAATTTGACAAAGTAACTTATTTGAGGCTGTACAATTTAAAACTATGGTAAAAAAATGAGTAGCCTACCTACCTACATGAATAAATTAGTAGGCTAAGTTAGCCTATATATCCTACTAATATTATTAACTAGCGGTTACCCGGCATGTGTTGCCGCGCTAAGAACTATTATTTTAAATGGTAATTTGTTCTTTACGACAAATAATAAAAATGTATAGGTACCTACCAAAAACAAAAAGAAAATATTTATTTTAATTAATTGCCAGTGGATAAACAATGTTTTTGTTTTTTCATTAGGTGTATTAAATATGGTAAGTCTTTAGGCGTACCTAGCACCACCTGAGCTTTCAACATATAAGCTGTCCGTGTGAAAAGCATGCATTTTCTAAATTTAAACCGGCAAGTCAGGGATTGGCCTTGTGCCTTATAATGGTGATTACGATCAAGCAAGTCGCAAAGAAAATTTTAGTCGCTTGAATTCAAAGGGTAATTCCGATGATATCATTAGTACCGTACGGTATTCTTCGGATAAGGGATATTTCTTCTAAACTTACCACTGATAATTGTTGCTTTGATCAAGTTTGGTGTCATTTTTTTAAAATCGTCAATCTGGTTCCGTTGCACAGCTTGGGTGGATTTAAGTTTTGCATTGGTTTTATTGGTGTTCATTCTTTTAATGGCCATTTTGCGGAATAATACGGCCACATAATATATTACCGATAATGTCACCAGATAGAGGACACTTTTACGGACACGACAGTATTAATATTATGTACCCGGGTGGTAAGTTAGGGGCTAAGTTAAGGGGGTAAAGTCAGCAAAAAGTGCTAGCGCCCAGAAAAATCTATTGCTGGCCATTTTGCGGAAAAATACGGCCACATTACATATTACCGATAATGTCGCCAGATAGAGGATACTTTAACGGACACGACAGTATCAATATAATGTACCTGGGGGGTAAGTTAGGGGGGGTTAATGCAGCAATAAGAAGTGCGCGACCCTTAAAAAATCTATTGCCGGCCGTTTTGTGGAAAAATACGGCCGAATAGGTTATTACCGATAGTGTCACCTGATAGAGGACACTTTAACCGTGTTTCAATCATCACAGCTGTGTGTTGTTAATATTAAAATAACTTATAGGCCTAACTAATATTTTGCTGAAAGTATAAATAATTCTATTAATTCAGTAGACTATTTCAAGTATTTTACTTAGTAGGTCTAGTCTTTCTGTTGTCTACTCTACTCGTCTACTAAACATGTTATTGAAATAGTAAATAATTCAAAACTAACAGGCATTGGTCTGCTCAAACAAAACTATCAGTCTACAAACATATATTAGTCTGTAAATTTACAATTTAAATAATGGTAAGAACTACAATTTTTAATAATAACTCACAACTCACACTTCTGATGATTGCAGTAGCATTAAAGTAGGCCTATTTTTCCGTATATTTCCACAAAACGGCTGGCAATAGAGTTTTGAAGGGTCGCGCACTACTTATTGCTGCATTTACCCCCCAGGTACATTATATTGATACTGTCGTGTCCGTTAAAGTGCCCTCTATCTGGTGAGTGGTGACACTCTCGGTAATATGTTATGTGGCCTTATTTTACCGCAAAATGGCTAGCAATAGATTTTTCCAGGCAAGACCACTACTTTTTGCCGACTTTACCCCCCCTAACCTACCCCCCAGGTACATGATATTGATAGTGTCGTGTCCGTCCTCTATCTGGTGACACTCTCGGTAATAAATTTAAAGTACGTGGCCGTATTTTTCCGTAAAATGGCCAGCAATAGATTTTTTTCGGGCGCAAGCACTTCTTATTGCTGACTTAACTTAACCCCCCTTAACTTACCCCCAGGTACATGATATTGATACTGTCGTATCCGTTAATGTGTTCTCTATCAGCTGACACTCTCGGTAATAACCTTTTCGGCCGTATTTTTCCGCTTAACGGCCAGCAATAGATTTTATCGACTTATTGCTGACTTTACCCCCCCCCCAACTTACCCCCCAGGTACATGATATTGATACTGACGTGTCCGTTTAATGTGTCAATGTGTCCTCTGTCAGGTGTCACTATCGGTAATAACCAACGCGGCCGTATTTTTCTGCAAAACGTCCAGCAATAGATTTTATAAGGCGCGCGCACTACTTATTGCCAAGTTATTGCCAGGTTCACACAAGTACTAGGCTAGGCCTATTCTACTCCTACATCATAATACTTAGGCATACTGGTGGAAATAGCCTATTTCAATATTTTTACCTGAAACCCCATTTAGGCTAGAACCAACCTGAATTCTCATGTTTTCATAAGTAGAGAAATAACAAGTAGCCTACTTTGAATTCAGTTATTAAATATAAAATTCAAATCTGTTAACTTATGACACTATGAAATCGATAGGTTTGTTTTAACAACTAGTCTACATTCTACAAGAACAGAACTAACTGAAAAGTCGTGTTGTTATGTTATGCATGCACTATGCAGACAGTTGAGTTAGCATAGCAGCCAAGAGCCAAGAGCCATCAGGATCAGATCAGCCAACGTTTGTTTTTCTGCTCTGCTTCTGCTGCTGTTTTTTCTGATCTTGACAGACAAAGTGAACTCAGTGCTACCAGCCTTGTCCATGTTGTTATTGAAAAACACTACTGTACTAAAGTAAATTTAGTATTAAAATAAATTATTTTACTGTTGATGAAAAAGTTTTTGGAAAAGTAAGAGGTTACCAGCGTTGCCTGAATACATAACAAAAGAAGGAAAAAGATGAATTTAAAATTCTTTGAACCTCTTATCAGCATAGAGTACCTGAGATCAACAAATTTTGGCTTGTTTCAATCTCATTTGCAATACGGTCATATTTTATGGGGTCACTCATCACACATATCATCCGCACTATTGCCGGGGTGGGCCCTGTGGAGCACTGCAAACAACTCTTTGTAAAATATCGCATTTGCATTTTAGCATGGTTTTCCAGGTCACATAGTAATTTTTGAGTGGAATAAAGTTGCAACTATGAGCAAGAGAATTAATCAAACTATCATGCATTTTAGTGTAAGGGTTAATTTTCCCTTACAGTTTATTTTAGTTGTAAGAAGTAATATTTATTTTGTGAAAGAATACACGTTTTATTTTGTTTCTTGTCTTTAATTATTTCTAAGGCCATAATAAGCCCAATTGTTTAGTTAGAAATAGAATTATTAATTTATTAAAATTATTCTGGTATTATTGGTACACAAATATAACAATGGAAGTGTAGTTGAATAGTTTGAATGACAATAGTGTCAGGATTAGGGAGAGAGAGAGAGTGAGAGAGAGAGTAGAGTTAGAAGTAAACATTGAGGTAGCGGCCGAGCTTAAAAGTCGTGCGGCAACACATCTGGACTACCGAGCCTACCTCCCATACCTGACCCCTACACCCCCTGCCACTGGAAGGTCCTATATAAGCAGAAGCATTTGGGGCACTAGGCAGTTGATGTTGGACGTCGGACAGCTCTCAAGGTATGCACCGTCGTGGTTGAATATACCGCGACTATAGCCATAAGTGTGACGTAATAAGTCATGCTTATAGTAAGTCATGCTTATAGTAAGTCAGTCTTAGGCCCGAGGTGGATAGTGTCGGTAAGTATAAGCTCGGGGTTGTTAGGCATACTAAGCAACCCAATCTTAGTATAGTTAGTTCTACCCAAGCGTTATAACTTGGGCAGAACACTCGACGGGTTGGCTAAGAAGTAAGTATTGTACTTTACCGTGAGGGAATACCTCGCGGCGAAGCTCAGCTGATTGGAGGGGGTACCGGGTACACATAGTGAATTGTGTTCGAGCGGATTTAGACTAAGGGACGAGGTAAGTGCCAGCTCGTAACCGAATAAGTCGCGACACACAAGGTAGGGTAACGGATAGTTACCTTAACCTACAAATAGGTCGGTAGGGTCACGGTTAACATTAGTTACCGCGAAAATTCGATAGTAAAGGCCATATGGCTAAAGTCCAAATTCAATTCGATATCTCGAGGTGGGCGATGATGAGTCCATTGTAGGTGTACTTGGTTGCCGCGGACTGAGCTTTAACCTCGAGATATATTGGGAAATCGAGATTTAGGCTAATTTTAGACCCTGGATAGTTAGACACCTACACCCTGAACTATCTGTGAAAGTTGTAGAAATTAAAATTTATCGTTAAGGGTAAAAATCCCTCACATTAGATATATTGTTAAATGTTTAACAAAACAAGCACGGAGGTGGCTAGACACTAAATCGGGAATATAAGGGACCCGTGACAGCTCTCGCCAGCCCTGGGGTCGTTAGATAACGCAACAGAGGTAATGTGATACATGATGCAGACATAATTTTTATTTGTTGTATGTTACTTAACTTTTATTAATATAATAATGTTGTATTTTTACAACATTTTGTTTTTTTTTTGTGACGAGACTGATAGCATCAATTGTTGAATGGTCAATAAATTCTTGATATGACCATTGAGTATTATGACTATGATAATACACAATATGGTGGAAGGAAAATACAAAATTTTACCATGTTAGAAAACTGTTCTAATGGTAATGGTATGGCAACACTGATTGTCAACTATTAATCGGCTCGGTTCACCAACTGTCAAATTCGTTGTTCAGTTGTTCTGTTCTGTCAACTGGAACGAGAGGAACACGGAACGACGAACGATAGAAATAGAACAGTAGGTCCATTAACTCAACTCCAACTGTTGAATGTTGTTGAATCCGAATTTCCTTCCTTCGTACTAAACCTTTATCAGCTTATATTACGTCTTAATTCACCAAAACAAACCACTTCGGTATTTGTTGTGTAATATTTATCTAAGAGATTTGTGTTGCTGGTGTTAAGCGATAGTTTTTCGTTGGAAACCTACTGTAATAAGTGATTCTGCCTTTTGTGGCCTTGATTTCGTCCTGCAAGTTCCATACCACGCCCTAAAATAGGCCTATCAGATACTGCTGTTATGGATATGATGATCTCCAACTTGCAACAACAGAGGCAAGTAACAGAACAGCTTAGAAGAGAAGCTGCAATTAAGCGCATTAGCGTATCTCAAGCAGTCCAAGACATCATAAAATACATCTCAGAACATGAGCAAGAAGATTGCCTTCTGGTAGGCTTTAGCTCTCAAAAAGCTAACCCCTTTAGGGAGAAAAGTAGTTGTAATTTACTCTAGAAGTGGTTGTCATCCTTTATTTTTCATCTTTATTAGTTATCATTACTCTTATTTGGGACCAATACACTAAATTACTGGAGGATATGGGTAACATTATGGATTTTGATTCACAAGGCCTGATTTTTAAAATTTCAAAGAACTTTATTGAGATTTTCCGACATTAAGTTATAAGCCTAGTGTTATTTCATATTTGTTGTCTACAGGAAATGATAGGCTATGCATGATTTGAAACCTTGGAGTAAACTAAACTTTTAAACCTGACAAAACCATGCTAAATTTATCATAGTTTAAGTTTAGTAAAGGAAAATTATCCCTAAGATATCTTGTATTATTATGATTGCTAAAGAAACACTTGGTAAGCTATGAAAAGCTAACATGTTAACTTACATAACTTAATTAGGCTATTTTGTTTCACTGACACGCCAATTTTGAAATTTAAGAATGTCAATAACTTAGCCTATTCCATTTAAGGCTGCAATTTAGTAAGATTTCTATGCTGGGTACAGCTCGTTACATGTAAGCTGGCACCTGAACAATAGGCCTACTAGGCTTCTAAAACATTATGTGCCGTCATTTGGGTTGTGTCAACATTCCTCCCAACTCAGGTGAATCTGGTATTTTCCTTAAACCTCCACCCCCCTTCCACCAACACTGCCTGCGCTAGGCCCAATTGCCAGCTTAGGGCCTACGTGTAACAAGCTGTACTTAGCTTGATCTGGATATTATCAAATGTGTTGTCTCTTGGATGTTTTGATAGAAACTTAGGAGGTGCATCCATCTGTCCAGTCATAAATCCAATTGAACTTTTAAGACCAATTTAAAGTCATATACATTTTAAAAGGTTGAAATTTCTGGTAATGGCTTACTGTTGTATTTTTTACCTTACCAAATTTAATAGTTGAATGACGTGGATTGATTGTGATACAACTTCATATTCACTCACACCTAGCTATCTTGTTATTTTTTGATCTAACTCCTTTCTTGCAGTAGACCTAGTTCATGTATTTAACACAGAACCAACTAAGCTATGTTGCCCTAAGTTAACACCAAACCACAATTAATATTGCCGATTTTATTTTACAAAATTTTAACCGTGAATCTTTACTGTTCAAAAGTAATCCATTCAACGCAATTACAAATCACAAATGTACGGTAGGATAGAAAATGAAATGTGTTTGTATATAAGGTGTAGGGTAGTAAATGTATCCCATTACAATGCCAGTAGGCTAACCACAGATACCAGATTTTACATTTTACTCCTACTGTATTTTAATGTGAAAACTTTGTAGCCTACTAACTAACAATTAAGTATTTTTGAAGAATTTTTTTAAGCTTAAGAGGTTTATATGCTTACCGGTACCTATATTTATTTTTATTAAACTGTTTAAATGACAAAAAACCTGTTATAAGGCCTACTATTTTTTCAAAGTACATTAGCGCACTAATTTGTAACTTGTTGAATTGTAAATTAACTGTTCCATTGTTAAAAAAATAATAATGATCTGTGTACCTAAAAATGTGTTCTGTACCATAAATGTATCGATGTAAGTTAAATAAAGATATTTCTACAACTCTTAAAGATTTTTATTAGACCTCACTTGAAATATTTTTTTCTGTCTTAATAGACTATGTGGTTTGGTTTCAACTTGTTCAGTTGCTGCACGGGTGAATATTTACTAAGACAAACCCGTTTGGTAAGATTTTTCTAATTTCTTGGTTGAAATTTATACAAGCTAAGCTTGATTGATGATTGTAAGAGGGTGGACTCATGGTCCAAGCACGTCAACCAAAGCTTATTGTGCATCGGCTAAGCTAAGTTAAGCTTAGTCAAATTAAAATTGACACCATATCAAGTTGGGAACTTTTAAGAATTTGTGGCCAATTAACTAAGAAAATTATACAGTCTGTGTGAAAAACTACAATTAGGATTCATTTGAATCTAACTTTATCAGTATTAATTTAATGTTAAGGCTTTTTCACACCGACATACTGGACGTCACGGGCGTCCAGTACTTGGTCCTTTCAAACCGCACAGAAACTTCCAAAGCGTCCACATGTTCATTTGCAGTCAGACAAGTAATGCCACTCATTTGTAGTGTTATTGTTAAGTGCATTTGTTACCTGTGCATATACAGTATGTCTCATCCGCAAGTTCCTTGGTGTGAGCCTGGGATTTCCGTGCCATCGATTAATGAACAGAGTGATAGCAATAGTGATGATGATCTAGTTTTGTTATACTGGGTTACGAAAAGGAGCAATTGGGTTCATCCTACAACAAAAAACGAAAGAGTTTTGGAGTGTAAGACCACGCGGCAGCTGAGCACGTGGTTTTGAAGTGTACTGCGCATGCGCTAGCCCATGGACGCCGTGAACGTTTCAGAAAAATCGCTCTCCGAGCAATTCACCCAAGACCAGTCGCGGACGTTCAGGACGTCCTGAACACGCGGTGTGAAAGAGCTCATTTGATAACATGGGCAGTGATTTCTTGAAACAAATCGTACCGGACATACATAACGTCCAGTACGCCGGTGTAAGAAGGCCTTTAAAACCCCACTTATTCATTAAATTTCCAGACAACACTGGCGAGAATAGTGGTAAGTTCATTTTATAAGCAGAAGAGGGAGAGTATATTTCTTGTCATGGAGCAAGCCTATGCTATTTTTATTTATTGATGCAACTGACTGTTACAAAGCAGCTCAGGTGCAAGAAAGAACTACTTAACTGCTACCAACTATCTATGCTTAATATAACTAAACGAAAACAGCTGAAAAGTTAAATACAATCAAATATCCGAACTCCAACTTTCCAAATCGCTTACAGAGAGAATTCATAAAACTTAAAACCATAATTAGCGAGAATGGTTACTAAAGATGATAGCAGCTGTGATCGCGGCAAAATCCAAAACCGGTCCTGCGGTCTTCTTGGCTTATCATATCTTCTCTTGAGGTTAATAAAATATCATCATTTTCAAAACTGCGGAAAAATCTTGCACAGCTTCCGTGGCCTTGTAGATATTATCATCCGTCTCCTACGGTCAAGGAAAATCAAAATCGCCTCTCCGTGAGCGTGAATTTTTCGATCGATCTTGGCTGACGCATTCTGTGATCACTATAGTAAAAGCTCTGCTCAACTCGCCCTATTTTCTGTAAAATACCCCAAATTTCAGTCAAAATCCAATTATCCAAATTGTTTACAGTCCGAATGTGGTACTGTCCTAAATCCCAATTGATTCGCATAGTTGCAGTTCTACACTGAGCTTGATGTGTCTTAGGAGTCAAGTTTTAGCACTACTGCCTATGCTTTTGGTTGATCCTTCATGGTCAGGTCTAATGTGCTTTGAGAAGTTCACCCACCGTTCTGAGGCAGTTTGTAACTGTATTAGGTTGAATTTGAACAGTTTTAAATAGAGCACAACGCAAATAAATACATGTAATGTCAGAACCTGGCTGCCTCCCATCATCATCAGTTTGTCTGCAAACGGTTCTGAAAAGTTCTTGGATAAAATTATTCCAACTAATAATGTGTATCAAGCAGTGAACATATATCACAGGATATCATCTGATCTAAACGTAACAATATCGAGGGGTGAAATAACAAACTAAATAGTCAAAATCGTTATAATTCAATCAATAAGATTATTACCATAGATAAACAAGCATTTTTATTTTACTGTCTGGGGACATCAAGTTGTGTAAATGCAACAACTTAGCATAACTGTAAGTCTTTTAAAGATAAAAATAATACAATTTTATATAAAAATTTAGAATATTATAAAAACATACAAACTAATATTGACATTTTTAAGGCGATGTCCTAATTTAAGATTGTTTTGACGATCTTATTAGTTTAAAAACATTGTAAATTTTTAAGGCACATTTCTAATATCTATTAAATGAATATATTCTTTAGTTCTGCCGATATGAGTGCAGAATGAAGTGAGACAAGTACTAAAAGCATGATTTGTAAAAAAGTACTAACGGTATCTCCTTTGATTCGAATCACAGAGTAAAAGCATTTCCTCGCAAGTTTAAAAGTATGACTGACTGTAGGGATTTGAACCAGGAGATCAGTTTATAGCTCGGTGATCCCAAAACAGGACCGACTTAATTGAAATAACAAGTTAGGTGCTAAAATGTGGAAGAAAATTTGTAAAGAAATTAATTGTTTATGTCCTTCAAAAATAGTTTTGTTCATACTCAATCCCTAATAAAATACAATGTCATTCTATAAGAACTATAAATTAAAATTAATTGATAAACAATATAAGTCTTAAACTATAGATATTAAGACCAGAGTAAAGATAGGATAATACTTTAATAATCAATACTGAATGAATGATACGTTGTAATAATAGTCAAAGATGATACTTAAATATAAAATTGTTAATAAGGCAGTGTAAAGAATGCTAATAAAGATAATGTCCTTAAAATTTAAATAAGTACATTATTCAATGCTATATCACATATTGTTCTGTAATTGGTTAGTCTTATAGTTGTCTAATTATTATTTAAACCTAAATAATACTACATAGAACATTTCAAAACCAAATTGTAATACTCTTAGGTTACTAAATGCTAAATGGATGTGGAATACTAAGAAGAGGCAGATAACATATTGAATAAATTTAACTAGTTATCTTTCATTTCTGCTGTGGTAGCCTAATTAATTGTCAAATTTGTTCTTCAAAAGCTAAGAGGTATTTTTAAGTTAATTTAAGGCACAGCTGCAAAATCTTCACGAAAAATAAATTATGCCAAAATTTCCATTACCGTACTAAATATTTTGGTGCATACTATGAATGTGCCACAAACTATTATACTCTGATAAAACAAAGGACATCTACGTACAACTTTTTTTAACATCCAATCACATTAAAACTATAAATCCACCTCTACTAGTATCCGTTAGGTATTTACAGACTAGGTACTTCGACACTGGTTAGGAGTTGTAGGAATCTAACCTAACCGTTGTACAGGACGGCTACAGTTAACCTACGGTAAAATCCTCTTCACACGTTCATCTCCTGCTCCTCATGTCGGCCGATGTTGGTATAATGAACTTTGTGAGAGAGGGCGTCCACCAAAGGCCGCATCTGTTTCTCAATAGGATGCCAGTTAGTGTAGGCCAGCAGCCCGAGGGTTGCGCACAGGGCGACCAGTAGAAATAGCTCCGTTCCTGTGTGAGAGGATGGCGCGGCCTGAACCTGAGACGTCAATAATGTTGGACAGCCATCAGACGGGTGGAGCTCATGACAGTGGAGAATGTTTTTGTTGCGGACGACAACCTGGTGAAATAGAAGACGTGAGGGAGATATTAGCTGGTTTTAATCTAAGAGTAAAACCTCTGATTTGAAGGTGGACATTTCTGTAACTGACTAAACTTCCATACTATCTGATCTGTACTGCAATATAAAATATAAAGTCAGTTTGAATAGCTGAGAGATGTGAGTGGCAATAGTGTTTACATAATGGGTTAATGGCTACCGTAGTTGTCGAAAAATATTCTGAGCCCGCAGTGTCTGGCTTGTCACCAGAAGATGAGATTATTGACATAACTTGAAAGATTTTCTAATTGTTTAACACGTTTGCTACCGAGTGTGCATATATGCGTCATTGCCCCCGACCGAGGTATACAATTTAATCTTGCACATAGACCGGCTGTCACTTGGTGAAACACCTGTGAAACAGCAATCGTTTGCATTGCTATAGGCTGCAATTGTGTTTGTAAATAATATATTTTTGCTTTTTTATATTTTTGATAACCTTTTGTAATGTCGCATATTTTCGACAACCGGTCAAAGACAATACCAGGTTAAAAATTATTATATTTTTCTTGAAATAGCGTAAACGCCGCAGTTCATTTTTGTTTATGTTTTAGGTATAAGTTAGTAAAAAAACAGATTTTTCAAGAACAGTTTATACAGTAATTGAACAAATATAAAAGCTACATACGATAATGCAGCATACATTCAAAACAAAAACGTTTTCTAAGTTTTGAGATTCATTATTGACAAATCACTATTGTATACCAAATAATTTGTCAATTCCTCATATCTGCATACCTCTCCAGTGGCGTGCCCAGGATTTTGCTGGGATTAATTTAGTCTTTAATTTGTATTGTTTATAATGAAAATGTTTTTAGAGTAGGCCTACAGGTAGTAAGGCATTTAAAACAAACTTTCTTTTTTAGAGACAATAAACAAATATGTTTTGTTTTTTCAACTTAGAATAAACAATTTTATCTGCTCTTACGATAAGTTATATAAATTAATATACTGTATACCATATATAAATTGTAACTGTTTACATAATATTTCCGTTTACAGTAGTTTAGTTATGCTAAAAATGGGAAGTGGACTAAGTTTAATAAAACTTTTATGTTTGTGTCATTGAATTTTTTTTAATATCATACTAAATATTTTTTAAATATATTTTTGTAATTTAATATTAAAATATTTTTAACGTAGTCACACCCCTGTACATTTCTGATACAGTAGAATCTCGATAGTTCGACACTTTGTGGACTTAAGGGATGTCGAAATGTCGAACTATCTGAAGTAAATGGAGTTTAATATACAGGAAAGTAAAAACACAAGTCTTATATATAAATCACCAAAATTTTTTAAATACTAAAAAGCCTAAAAATGTCACTGTTCATTAGTTAAATTTCAAGTCAACAATACATGACAATTTAATGTTCAAGTCAGCTTACATCACAATAGTAACCATTAAATATCACTTGACAAAATAGCTCGGCCAGTGTTGAACTGCAAGGAGTGTCGAACTATCGAAGGTTTACTGTATCCAACATCTCAGTCAAGTTGAAAACAGTGTGTAAATTAATTTTCGATGAACAACACAAAATTTAACTCAAATAGCGTTGACAACAGATACTTAACTGATTTTTAAATTAATTTTTTGTACGTTTCTTTGTTATTTTCTTCATGTTTATCTGCCTTTGGAGTTTTTTTTTTCTTTCAGAGAACAATCCAAACAGACAGCATTATTGATAACCCAATTACAAATGGCATCTAGGACTGAAAACGATCTAGCTTGGGATCGAACCAGCGACCTTCAGATTTGAAAGCGAGCACTATAACCACTCGGCTACCCAGACTAAGCTGCGGCCAGTTTAGGACAGATAATCAAGACTACTGTATTACTGTACCTTGGTTGCCTGCATCCATGCATAGAGGCTGCTACAGCCCCCAGTGAGGGAGTTGTCCGAGAGGTCGATGGTTAGGCCATGGTCCGTGTGAGTCTTGGTGTAGCTGTCTAGAGCCGAGCGATCGTCCGGAGCCAGCTGTCGGATGTTGTTGTACTCCAGGTCCAGGAACCTCAGGTGGGGGAGACAGTCAATGTCAAAGTGTAAACCTGTCAAGTGGTTTTGACCTGGAAAAACAATCATCTCCATCAAACAGAGAAAAAATAGTGTTAAGCCCCACAAATCTGAAACAATTTTGCAAAATTAATTTGTGTACTTTAAAACACTATAGGCCTAGAGGATGAGCCTTGTCCCTACAGCCCTATATAAATACCAATTCAATTCAATTAAATATTTCTTTATTCATTGAAGCACAAAGTACATGAATAGTGTCATTCTCTTAAATGTTTTTATATTACAATGTTATATTCTATGGATACAAAGTTCTTAAAATCTAACATAAGTTTATACAAATTACAAATTAACGCTCCTTCTAAAAATTTTAAAGTTCATCAAGGGAATACAATACCTTGTTGATGAGAAATGTTTTAAGACCCCTCTTAAATCCGTCCGACCATGCTTTTTGCCGATTTAATTTCATTTGGAATTTTGTTGTAAAATTTGGAGCCGGTATAACTTGGTTTTTTACTGTAAAGTTCTAATCTGTGGCGGTTTAGAGCAATGTTGGTTTTGTTTCTGGTATTGTAGTGGTGGTGTTCACCAGTTAACGCCAATTGAGAAAATCTGTTTTTAACATATAGAACTGTTTCATAGATGTACAATCCATATACTGTCATTATTTTTAATGATCTAAAATGCTCTTTTGAAGTTCTCGAGTCAAGGTCCAAAATAATTCTTATAGCTCGTTTTTGTAATTTTAGGATTGTTTCTAAGTTATTGATAGATGTAGCGCCATACAGAGATATTCCAAAAGAAATAACAGAATGTATGTACGAAAAGTATATTGATTTTAATGTTGATCAAGAAGATTTTTTAATCTAGTTAATGCAAATAGACCAGATACAGTTTTTTTTATTACTTTGTTTGCGTGAGAATTCCAAGTTAAATTTTTGTCAATTTCAAATCCTATGAATCTAATATTTTCTAATTCTTCAATAGGTTTCTGATTAATTTCTAGTGAAGGATTAATTGAAAGTCTTGTCTGACGGGTCTCAAAATTTATGAACTTTGTTTTATCTGGATTCAAAAGTAACTGATTGTTTTGGAAAAAATTTGAAAGTATATCTAGATTAGCATTAGCTGTCTTTTCAATTTCCTCTTCAGAATTAGAGGTAACTGTAAGATTTACATCGTCTCCATAAAGGTAAAGTTTGCTAGATTTAGTCAGCCCTGGTAGGTTTGTAACATAGCAAATGAATAGAAGGGGACCCAAGATGGATCCCTGTGGTACACCATGTTTAATAGTTCTAATTTTTGACTTGTGAGTAATTTTCATTTGATTATTGAATTGGATAGTTTCTACAAATTGTTTTCTATTACAAATGTATGATTCTAGCCATTGAAGAGATTTATTTTTTACTCCGATGCTAGACAATTTATTTAAAAGTAGATTGTGGTTTATAGGGTCAAATGCCTTGGTGAAATCCATGAAAATGCCAAGAGCTTTTTGTTTTGCATCTAAACAATCAATAACTGACTCTAAAAACTCTGTAGCAGCTGTCACAACTGATCTACCACTTCGAAATCCATGTTGACAGGACTTCCTCAAAAAGGTTATTACTTTCCAGGAAGCTATATAAACGGTTGTACATGGCTTTCTCAAATATTTTGGACATGGCCAGAAGCAGAGCAATTGGACGGTAGTTTGATAATTCATATCTATCTCCTTTTTTGAATAATGGAATTACGAGTGTTTTGAGTGCTTAGCATATGCAGTACAGTAGAACCCCTGTTAACCGAATTTGGGTTAACCGAAATGGTTCTATAAAATAATATAGGAATATAGGGCTGTAAAATGCTTTAATAACAGTTGTCTGGTTTAAAGTATTTTCTATCGCATTGGAACATTTTTGTAGCTGAAATAAAACACTGAATTATATAGACATTCTCTTAAATTCATTTTTCCTACATACTGTGGTGATGCATTGGCTATTTTAGCATATGATGGGTTAACCCAAAAATTCGTTATCCGAAACGGCTCCCTCCCCTTTATTTCGGTTAACCGGGGTTCTACTGTATCTATTACTTTTTAATACCATACAGTCAGTATAATATTCCTAATAGTTTGTTTGAGGCAGAATGACTATAAAATAGTGGATGCTCCAGGGGTAAGAGCTTCTGAGATGAGAAAAAGGATTCTGAGGAGAAAACTTACAAAAATACACTTAAGAAACAGTTTGAAACAAAAAGGTAGGCCTGCTGATGCTGCATTTGTTGTCCTGCCTTTTGTTTTGCATTGTTTGCCTCGTTTGTCCATGTGGCAAGGGAAATAGGGAGATGGTCAATGAAGCTTTAAAATCCTATATCAGTAACTGAGTATGAAACATATTTTCAACCGACAACCAATTAAATACTAGTTTTATAACCAAGACGATTAGCCAAATAAATATTTTTACTTAAAACGTTAATTATATTGGTTATAACCTACTAAGACAAAATAAAAATATACAAACATAGGCTAGTAGCCTAACTTACCCAGATGAAGGTCTTGTAAGTTCGGTAGATCGCAGAAGACTTTTGGGTCTTTGAACTGAGATATCTCGTTCTGCTCCAAATGCAGTTTGCGCAAAGAAGTGAGCTCACTGTTGATGAAAATGTCGTGCAGATCGGAGGCGAGATCTTCCGGATTGTTGTCCGCAAATGCATCCGTCAAGTGGAGTTCAACCAAGTTCTCAAAATTGGAAAAAATGCTGAAAGTTGTTTAACAGATTAGAAAGTAACGCAACCTACTAATTTTGGACTTGTTGTTTACTGTTCTGTTTTGTGTCATTAGTGTTCCATATTTTATTTATTGGTAGCAACCGTCTTTACACACAAGTTGCATAATTTCTAAAATGTAGGTTACAAATATCAATGTGAATAATGATTCAACAGTTTACAGTGATTTTCAATAAATAATAGATAAGAAAGATAAGAGAAAGATTACAAGAAATCAGGAAGGTGGTGTGTCATAAAAACAACAATGCCATACTAACAATAGCCATGGGGTTTACATTCAAATAATTGAAACAAATTTATTAGGCTTAATATATTAGACCAGTATTGCCATCCATAGAGAATGTTGTACATACATATAATGTTTTACATATTTATAGAAGTGTTTCAACTATGACGCTACTGATTTCAACGCAGTATCAAGCGGAGGAGAAGGTAGGTTCCGTAGTAAGGTGGGAATCTTGAGAATTTTTAAGCGTAATAATAATGGATGCCAATAATCATTAAATTTGTGACATTAAATAAAATACTGGTGAAACAAGCACCCATAAATCCATTGGCATAACAATGCAAACCGTAATCAAGCAAGGTAGGCCTAAATCAGCGAGCTGTACTTAGCAACACATAAAATACATATAATGACATTTACATTATTTTAGCATTCTCACTAATTAAGCTTCTTTAATACCCTTTTGTAGCTTGCAATGTTATTTTCAATATGAATTTAACATTCAATTTTTTGTTAATAATGAATTTATAGATTATAGCTATATATTATTTAATTAGAAGAAAATATAACTTACCACCACCAAAAGTAGATTTAGGCCTAGGTTTGAGTTAGTAAACGAGGAAATGTTAGTGATTTCCCGAATCTTGGGAGACTTCCTGATTTAGGATATAATTTCATTGTTTACCGTGGATGGTGATGGCTCGGTTCCTTTGAAGAGATTGATATTTGATTGTGGTTCAGGATCAGTCTCTCGACATTCGACACTCTGTGGTATGTTTTACCGCGGATGTCTTGAATGTTGTTGTTTGACATGTCCACTACTTTCAAATCCAAGAAACTGTTCATAGAACCAAACACATTCATTGGAAGCTCGTTGATGTTGTTGCCAGTGAAAATCAGAACCTGCAAACAAGATTACTGGATAATTGATATCTTGAATAAACAGCCAGTCTGAAATAGTTTATATCTTTTAGTCGAGTGTGTCTTAAGCACTTATTGTGTTTTCACACAATAGTAAATTCTATTAAATAGAATAAATTAGACGTTTCCTACGCTAGTTTGTCTAGCATATCAAATTTCATCATTTAGGGTAGTTTTACAAATTAGCTCTATGAATCGCATTAACACCGCAGCGAGGCACCTTTCCGCTAGCATCATTTTTGTGAACAGAATGGCACCATTTACAGCTCCCTAGCCAGGGCCGGACTTCCCTATGGGCGGAGGGGGCGAGGGGCCCCCTTGCACAGTAGTTTTTATTAATAACTTCAAAAATTAATCAGACACTTACTGAATGGCCTTCTTTTGTAACAGCTTTGTTTTTATTTTCGTATTTTGTTTACATGTTTTGGCTTGTATCGGCCATTGTCAAAACATCACAGTTGGATTGTGAAATCCTTGTCATTGTTTCCTACTAAAAGTAGGTAGCCTACATACACAATCACACACACACGGACGGAACGAAAACGAATAATACTTATTAATAGGCCTATTATATAAAATATACGGGCAGGACGCACGCACACCGTTGTGTCAAGGTCAGGATGCAGACTGAACTAGTTGTGCATTGTCGGTCTTGTCTTATCAGCTGATGTGGACTGCTGACCAATGGGCGTCGAGCTCTGCCTTTGTTTTAAGATGTTATTGAAAATTTGGTGGGATTTGAATTTAAGTTTTTCATTCAGAATTACACTCCAAACCCCCCGGAGGACCCCCCCCAAACTGAAATCCTAGAGCCCCATTGGAAAATTTGCCTGGGGCCCCTGAAGTCCTAAGTCCGGCCCCTGTCCCTAGCTGATATGCAGCCTACACTTGGCTGTGCCTTTAAAATAATAAATCTCTCACGGTGTGTGAGCTTAGGTCAGTGATACATTTTTGACGATAAGAAACTCATATCTGATGCTGACATTCATTGCCAGATGACTGAAGTTTATGGCCATAATGCTTAGTCAGAAAGTAGGCCTAACAAAGCTACACAGATCATCTCACGTCACTCTACACTCACGCTTCACTTATACTTTATACTTGGGAAAATATACGCACCTAGGTGGAGTCCACATCTGAATGAATTATTTTATAGTTGATAAAATGATAGTGTATCAAATTATGCAATTATTGTTGTTGCAAATGTGGAATGGGCTGGGGAGTTAATTGGCCGTGAAAATATTTATTTCAGAATGAATTTTGTTTTTGGTGGGTTTTCAGACTACTCAAAGTAGCCCATAAGAGAAAAAGGTTTTTCACAGCCATTTTTACACTCCTAACCCATTTTCACACTTTACTCTCATTCATTGCATTAGGGCCATAAATTTTTGTCATCTGGCGATGAATGTCGGCATAGAATATGTTTCTTGTAATCAAAAAAGTATCACTGACCTTACGTCTCACCCAGCAGGAGATTTAATGGTTTTAAAAACACACAGCAAACTGTACACATCAGCTACTGTAGAGCTGCTAATAGCGTCACGGTTCACAGATTATGCAAGCAAGCAGGGATGAGCCTCGTTTTGGCGTACACACATACTGCAGAGATATAGGCAATAACAACCCTTACTACCCTAGTACTAATCTAAACTTTTGTCTGGATTTTACAGAAAATAGCGTGTTAAAGGCTTGGATCACAATCCAACCAATGATTTGGTGCAAAGCTACTGTAAATTTTCATTCAGTCTACTATACAATCACCAGTGTACCTGTTAGCAGATCAGATAAAATTTAAACATAAATGGACAAGAATCACTCAGCCTAATATTACCCATGCTAAAAATATAATATCGCTATTGATTTCTTGGTTGAAGAAAAACGTTCCTGGTAACAAATGAAAAAGGGAAATCCATAATAATTACAAACTGTCTTTTAATACTCACTTGTGTTTTTGAAGGTAGATTCTGTAATACTGATGCATTTTGAAAATTTGTGTTGGTACAATTCACTACAAACTGTCTTTTCCCCATGTAGTCAATATCACCACATAAACATTTTGATGTAAAAGAATCATTACATGGGACAACCAAAGATTTAACTGGCAGGATGACGGAGGCATAGAGGAAAATACTGAAAGATAGCCAGTCCATCATCTGTAAAATATTATAAATACAGTACCGTACTTTATCAATTGTAATTAAAACAATATTATTTAACTTATTACATATTGGTTTATTAAGTTAGTTATTAGGCTAATTAACTTGACATCAGCTTTGGATAAAAATACTTAGAAATTCATTAGGCTATTAGGTACGGTACCATTAAGTTATTCTTAAACCTAGTTTTCCTAGGTTTGTATTTAAATTTAAGTATAAATGACTAGTAAAGTATAAATAGAGTAAGTAGGTTATTTTCCCTAGGTTTGGGTTTCAATTTAAGTTTAGGCCTATTATAGGCCTAAATGACTAATAAAATATAAATGGTTTAGAAGGACCAGAAACGTGCTAATGTATTGTAGTCTAGCCTATATTATAGTCAATAGAGTATATAAATTAGTCTTCGGGTACACTTCCATATCTGTTGTAAAAAAACGGAATAAAAAATTATTCGATATATCGATTAGGTAGGCCTACTTTATTCGATATCGATTGAGATTTTCATTCAGTTGTTTTTGACAACAGATACGGAAGTTTACTTGAGTCTCCGTTCAACGTGATGGATACATTCTGCGTGATCGCCTTGCTGAATGAATCCAAGTAGGCCTAACTTAAGTTATAGCAGAGAATATGATCAAGTGACAGGGGTAAGGAGATGGGCAACTCTTCTCAGCATGTAACTGATCAAAAGGTTAAGTTTAGGGCTAGGCCTATGCGGAACCATATCAGGATCTCCTAAAATAGGGACTACCTGTATAAATCTAGGATTAGACTCAGGGGAAAAATCAAGTTGGCCTAAGTGAGGCTACTTACAAGCACGTCTATAGTTTTGAATTTAAATGGGTGAGCAAAATCTCATTTTCACAAGAAATTAGATATTTAACTATGAAAATCAAACAATAAATCTAAGTAAAGTAAGCTTGTTATTAACTCAGTTGAACTAATCATTAATGGGAGTTATTAGTTGAACTAAAAAGTTCTCACTTCTCAAGTTATCTTCGATCACTACACCAGTAAATATTGATTAGTAGGCCTAGTAATAAATAGGTCAAACCTAATAAAACCAACAATTAATTATTCCCTAGGCTCTAATAGAACCAACAATCTTAAACTAAACATTCTCTGACTAATGATTTTTTAAGTAGGTCAGTAGTTAGTTCTATGTAGCTTAAACATTGTCATTAAACTCTTTTCTGAATCGTTTGTAGTCCTTTGTCATGAGATATTGTAGCTGACTTAAAACTCCATCTCAAAGACAAGATATAAAATCTAAAACTTTTTTTATCAGGCCGAACCCCTAAGGCCTATGTTTAAGTTATTCATTGCTTTGTCTAATTGTAACTTTTATAACTTCTAACCTCAAAAAATGAAATAGGCCTAATAATAACTTTTTAATTTAAAAAATCTGCAGTGACCAGGAATGGGATATTATATCTTAAGGTTTTAATCTATTAATACTAACCAAATAAATATTATACTCTAATAATTACTGGCTGATGACTAACAGACTAACCCCCACCCAAATAAAAATAAACAATTACACCAACGACACCAACACCTACTTGTGACAATAGAAACAAAACATTTACAAGACAACCAACAGGTGTGCGCGTGCGGTGATGTGCCCTGAAGAATGCAGGAGTAAAAGCAGACAACAAAATAAAACTTCAAGTAAAGACCGAAAGCAATGATCATGAAATGAAGATTTCGTGGCTTTTTCGTAGTTTGGCCCTTTGATTAAATTTCACATGTGTACCAATTTTTACCAAAATAAAAACTATAATAAAAGCTTATCATAGATCATAAATTTTACATTTAAACTGAAATAGTATGTATGCAAAGTTTGCATACATATTTCAGTTTGAATGTAAACTGCAAAGAGACATTATAATAATGGAGATCTATTTTAAATAATGTATACACAAAATGTTTGTAGCCATTTTTAATTTACTCAACTTTTTATTTAATAAACTATATATTTCTATTTCCTAGGTGAAGTGCATAATTTAAGAACCAAAAGGGATACATGGTGCCATGGACTAACACCTAAGGGAGTATGGTTTATCTTAGAGTAATGTTTTATCTATGCTAACACGCACTAAAACTTCTTAGAGCCACAACAGAGAACCAAGCCATTAATTACTGAACCATATGTCTTGCATCCTAACGGATCACGGAACTACCGTAATACCATGTCTTCGTTTTAGCGAATTTCTCATATAGGGAATAAGCTATTGGTTATTTGGATTTGAAACGTTTTAGGGCACTATTTTGTTATTAGTGGTCCGATTTTGGGTTTCTTTATGTCAATTGTTATGTTTCGTCAAGACCTGTAAAATCATATCAAACTCGACTATACTTGCCATTTGATAATTTTGAGCTACCCCCTACACACGTTACCCCTAAGGGCACAATTTTTAAAGCCTCGGGACCATAGTTTTGGGACCTTAATGGCATCGACAGTAACCTGGTCTTACATTGTTCAAGTTTTGTTGTATCCCGATTACATCTTTAGACATATATAATAAGGATCACGAACTTCACAGAAAACTGTAATTCGTACCCACACATAATGAACTGCATACCTGAATGAAAGGTCTCGATAAGAAACTTCCCCTAGATATCAGGGCTTCGATAAACCCTTTCATAAAGACACGGACGTCAATCAAAGGGTTTTGTATATATATTTTTTCAGAAAACAAAGTATTATTTTTAAAATGCCACAAAATAAAAAAAATATGTTGGTGAGACCCAAAATTCAAAATTCCCGGCCTTCAAACAATATTCTAAACTCGGCTGTGAACCATGTCACAAGCCCTGATGTGGTACAGTATTTGTAAAATTATGAGTAGTACAACTGAATTTGATAGCAAGGTTACAAACAAGGTCCATCCAGTTGGTAGATAAACACTTGTGAAACTCACAATGTCCAAAAGAATACATTGGCCAGACTCAGACTTCAAACTCTTTAAGAGGTCGAATACAGGACAGGCCATCGTTTTGATGTGGACATGAAGACAAAAGAAGCCAATCTTTAATCATGCCGCTCACCACAACCAACATTTTGAAGGCTGCTATGCCCTTAAAAGCTCTTCACAAAGTAAAACCACATCAAAACCCTAAATGCAACCAACTGGTATTAAGAAATTCTAAATTGGCTCACCAGTTGGTTCTGAAAACAAAGTTCCCCTCTGGTTTAAATTTAAGTTAGTAAAAAAGTAATTCAACTCAGCTGAATTTTAATTTTCTTTTCCTTAGGCTGATTTGATTTTTCTTTGATCTGTACTCAAATATTTCCAATTTAATGCATAATGAGGTGGGCGAGTTTATTTTTTCCAATATTGTTCAGGTGAAGGCCATGTCTGGTAAAATGCTGTCTTCTACATCCGTCAAGATTTATGAGGTGTAAATTCTGGGGTTTTGCTACCAATGACCTAATGTGGTTATTCACTGCTGCAAACCTTTGAGCATCATCTTGCGTAATTGGTACATCAAAATGTTTGAGAACAGAATTGTGATGAAAGTAGGTCTTGTTTTAATAACGTGAGATAACTTGTAATCTCTCCAAGCTTTCATGAATAGAATTTAATTTGTTCTCCAAATACCCATTTGTTCCTCCCATAATAACAAGTGGATTCTGTGTTTCAATGACTGAGGATTTAATTATTGGAAGTGTAGTCTCGCATTAGGTCTGACATATCCAAAGGCCTTTATCCTGTTGTTGCTTAAAACTTTCAATTTTTGCTTGCACATTTCTTCTTTGGTTGTCCGAGCCAAAAGTTATACTGAGTGTATTATTTTGACCATCGAGAGAGTTATTTATTTTTCTTAGTACGTGATTTTCTTTTACAGCATTACTTTTTGTGGATTGGTTAATTGGAGATTCTTTTACATCTTCTACAACATGACGCAAATGTTCATACTTATTTGACAGGGCTAGGATGTCATTTGTTGACTGTTGTTGTTTAAAAGCAGCTAAACCACTTCTCCTAGTAACAGAAAGCCATCCACATTGGTTAATATTATTTTCATTCGCATTTTTGTTGCTCTGGTAGGTCGAGTTTACATTAGTGCAACTGACTGATGACGAACGTTTGTTGACATCAATGACTTTATGTGTTGTGCTATGACTTATTATTGGCTTAAACATCATTGAAGCGATTGTCAGTCTCCATTGATCATGAGACACATTCTGTACGATTGGTTGAATGATAAGTTCTGTGAATATCTGCATGTAAATACCACAGTCGTGGGTATTTAATTGTACTGGTATTATCACATTACATATTTCTATTTCTTCTGTGTATGTATATAATTGTATGATCCTACTGAGTCCAGGTACAAAACCTTTTTTTTTTCTCCTGTGATGTACATCAATAAGCAATAAGCTCCAATGGGAGCCACAACCGCCTGGTTTATCTACAGCTGGAGAGTCATTCACTGCGGTATAAAAATGTGTGTGCTTGTTTCCATACTTAAGTTTTCCAGGGTAAAATCAAAATTTTGCAGGCATTTGATTGCTTGAGCAATCACTGGATTCATAAGCGCGATGTTTGTTTGATTAGTTACGTTACTCAATAACAAATCAAATTTTTTTTTCACTAAACTATTATGTTTTTAGCTGTTTTACATACGTTAACTGGTGGCTGAAAGCTACGTTTTGCTGCCCATGCCAGCTGTCATCGTTATTTTGTGACCGAGCAGGTTTTTACATCCCTAGGGCCGCAAAATCAGCTGCCCGCTTAAGACAAGTATCAAGTATCTAGTAAGTAATGCCATGCACGTAGGCCTACGTTGTAGCAGGTTTGAATAGGTAATACCATAGACAAAAGAAATACCATAATAATGGTCTATTGTCTGTGGTAATACTGTGCATCTCATACACAGGTGAATACAAAGTCAAGACATCTCATGCAGCCTTGGCAGGAATTTCCATTATATAATTTTGAAAATGTTGAGTGTCCTCCAAAAATGGTTTTGTAAACACCTCAAAATGAGTTGTCACTTGAAGGGGGTTTGAGCTGCCCCCAAAATTCCCCATTTTTGGGGGACACAAAAAATTTTTAACATCATAAAATGAAATTTCTTGCTAAGTGTGCACGACCACCAAAAGGATATCTCCGTATACTTGCATTCCCTTCCCTTTTCATCACACTGTAGAGTATTAATAAATGGGAACATCTCCATAAAATTACAAACATAGCCTAATAACCTAGCCAGCCCCAACAAACCGTGGCCTAGAGCCAGTATGTGCGTCGCGGCGGTTCGGCGGTTTTGGCGGGCCTACGTGAGCCGCCTCACACAGTACAGTATTGATGAATGGGAGGCGCAGGAGTGTGCGCGGCGGTGCGGCGCCGGCGTCAAGACGTCACCGTGTACTCAGTGTTGGCCGGGACATGGTCGCCGCGATACATACACACGAGACATGCATCGCAATGGACGCCACCATGCCCATGGTAAGTGACAATCAGCTGATCACATTGTCAGAAACAGATGACATCACCTGTCAATCACAGCTGGCGGCATTGTTGGTTGACCACGTGTGTGGTTTTATAATCGACGTGGAGTAAACATACGATTGTTGAAGTAAGGGGTTGTTAGGGTGTTGATGGTATTTAAATTTTCTGACATGTTTTTAATATATAAAAAAAAAACAGCGACTTGAAGGCTTGTAAATGATAAAGTATAACAACTAGTGTCATCAATATTGAAGGAGTAAAGGATGCATTTAAGGACACTTTGTTTAAAAGCTTCATATTCATTATTAATAATTTTTATACAGTGGATATGTTTTTAATTTTTTTTTACTGTAAAATGTTACCAGATTATAAATTTATCAATTTGAGATCGTGCATAAACATGACTTCGCCAAATCTTAGAGGAAAGAAAGGTGTAATTAATTGTAATCACTAATATTTTATGGAATTTAAACATTAAAATGTGATTTATATAAGTTAAGTGGAAGATTATTGAGTCGAAGCGTATCAAGAATATTATAAAAACATTGTATTCTAACGTGTATAGAAACGACGAGTTTACTCAGACTTACACTTCATTGTAGTCGTATTTTTATTTGAGTTGGTGGGAAACATTGAAGAATGCAAGTGGGTATATTAATGCATTGAAAATTACCAAGCGTAGTAGGATGATTTATAGATTTGAAAAGCAATAAACGTAATTTTAAAAACATAAACGATTGTACAGTAATAATTATTTGATACGTAAATAGAGGCTTCTGTAAATACAAATCCCTCTACAATAACCTTCTAAATTATCGTGATGTTAAATTAAATAGAATTGGGCGTTTGGCCTCATTAAAAAGGCTTTTGTCAGTTTTATTTGTGATTTTAATTTTTTTTACCAGTTAGACTGGTGAATAGGATGATATAACCGTGCGTTAAAATATTTTCCCCCATACGTTTAGTTGAGCTAGTTAGAAGTGGATTATTTTGTTAATACATCAGTTACACACCTGGTAAGTCACTTAAGTTTGCAAACTATTTCCTTCCACACATCTCTACATCATGTGATATTTTGAACTCCTGTCTGTACTAAAAAGAACTATTCAAA